TGTCCCCCTTGTGGCAGGGCGAGCACCTGAGTGCGGGGTGGGGGTGGTGACAAGTTGCGGGAGCAACCGCAGGGAATGTTCCCGGAGCCTTCCATGCTCCGCCTTCTCGGGAGAGAAAATGCCTTTTTGTGGTGGGTGCTCCGCGGCCGTTGAGAATGGCCCCCGAGCCGGCTGGCACAGCGTCGTCCTAGATAAGTGCGCACCTAAACCGAGCAGTACGTTCTCCGTTCCGACTCAGTTCAAGGGACAGTTGGGTGTCCGGCACCCCGCCCCTACCGGGAGAGGAGGGTGCCTGCCCCCTGAGCTGCAGACGCTGGGCCTCCCCTCCCGCCTTGGCCTCGTGGGAGCCAGGTTTGGAGAGCAAGGAGAGATTGACCAGCTGGCTTTTGAAATCACTTAATTTCTGTTTAGAGCCGCAGCTGCAGTTTGTTTTCAAAGTGGAAAATCTGTAGCAAAAATGTAGATGTCGGAGCTCCAGATAGGGGAGTGCCAAGAGGTGGACTAGAGACGAGCTTTTATCTGGTAGCTGGTTTCCCAGTGTTCTTGGCACAGAATCTTCAAACTCCTCTCTCCACGTTAAGAACACTTTGTTGTTTGTTGACCGCACTCACCTATCTTGTCTCTGACTGTAAATTCTGCAGTGTTGCCTGACTTGACAATAAAAGTTGCAGCTTGCTTTGTTTTCTTCGACTTCCCTCCTGGAGTCTCCTTCATGGACCTTTGTTCCCCTCAACAGGAGTACTCCCCCAGTTGTAAGAGGCGCCGCACTGTTGAGGACTTCAACAAATTCTGCACCTTCGTCTTGGCCTATGCTGGCTACATCCCCTATCCGAAGGAGGTAATAATTTACAGATTTTGGAGCATCAGCCCCCCCCCCCCCCCTGCTCCTTGGTTTCCTGCTACAGGTGCTTCACCAGTAGCAGGTCTGGAAGCATTTGATGCCAGCTTCTGGCAATAGTCTGGCAGGAATCAGTTTTTTTGGGACCTAGATGAGCCCAGATAAGTGATTCCAAAGCTTCAGTAGACTTGTCTAGAAATGATTTAACAAATAGATTTTTTATTTTGTTTTTTTTCAAGACATGGAAGATTTCTCTGTATAGCCTTGGTTATCCTGGAACTCACTGTGTAGACCAGGTTGGCCTCGAACTCAGAGATCCTCCTTTTTTTTTTTTTTTTTTTTTTTTTTTTAAAAATTTTTTAAAATTTTTTGTTTTTTTTTTTTTTTTTTAAGTTAGGTTTACCTGCTGAATCTGACTCTGGCCTTGTGTGTCATGAATTTTTCCACTATTTCACTCATTAGTATATTATTGCCTCTGCCTCCCGAGTGCTGGGATTAAAGGCATGGGCCTCTCCCCCCCCCATAACTGGGTCTTAAGGGATTCTTGCCCATGCCCCAAATTCTGTCTATGTGTAAGTTTTTTTTCTTGACAAGGAATAGGGTGGTGGGGTTTAGACTGCTGAGATCCTGTATCACCTAAGCTACGTACAGAATCTGGTATTTGGGGAACTAAAATCATGGCATGGATTTATTCTTGCTTGCTGTACAATGCATACTTTGTACCATAGAGTCTTCTGTCAGTCCACTTAGCTTGCTGTTTAGGGGCACTAATTATCTACTTAGATTTTGCAATATTTTGGAATTTCTCCGGGATTTGTTTTTTTTTTGTTTTTTTGTTTTTTTTCTCTTTTTCCAGACAGGTTTCTGTGTTGTCCTGACTGTCCCAGAACTCACTCTGTAGCTATCTGCCTACCTCCCTTAAAGGCATGTGTCACCATGCCCAGCTATTTGCTGTTTTGTTTTTAAAGATGGTCAAAAATTTGAATCTAGCTTAAATTTTATATAAAAAATGCCTGTTGGGAGCCAGGCATGATAGCTCACACCTTTGAAACCAGTGCTGGGGAGGCAGAGGCAAGCAGATCTCTGAGTCAAGGCCAGCCTGGTCTAGGAAGTGGGTTCCAGGACAGCTAGAGCTACACAGAGAAGCTCTGTCTCAATAAAAAAGCAAAACAAAACAAAAACGTGTTGCGAGAATAAATGGAGGGTATTTTTCTTTCTTCAGGGAAGACTAAAACTATGAGCCCATGTCTGTGGCAGTTTCTGTTGGATCTTGGAGGGTGGGAAGAACTCATGGCTCCTTCCTTTCGTGCTAGGCAAGCACTCTGCTACTCCAGCCCCAAATTGCAGTCTTTTTTGTTTGTTTGTTTGTTTGAGACAGGGTTTCTCTGTGGCTTTGGAGGCTGTCCTGGATCTAGCTCTTGTAGATCAGGCTGGCTGGTCTGGAACTCGAAGAGATTGCCTGCCTCTGCCTCCCAAGTTCTGAGACTAAAGGCGTGCGCCACCACTGCCTGGCGCAGCCTTTTAACTATGAGTTTATCCTGGCACTGGGCAGGAGAAACTCAGTGAGTGAGGTGTACCCTCTTGGTCTGCTGAATGTTAATGAGATTGTACCAGTTTGATGCTGGTTAGAGCCCAGGATCCAGGTTGTGCTTGGGCAGAAGAAGTGACCTGCTGGGGAGGGGTCTTGAGCCCTGGAGGCTGAGTATGTGACTGACTGTGACCCTGTTGCTCTCTTGTTTCAGGAGCTCCCCTTGAGGAGCAGCCCTAGTCCCGCCAACAGCACCGCTGGCACCATCGACAGCGATGGCTGGGACACTGGTTTCTCTGACATTGCGTCCTCAGTGCCCTTGCCGGTGTCGGACCGCTGCTTCAGCCACCTGCAGCCGTCCCTCTTGCAGCGAGCGAAGCCCAGTAACTTCCTGCTGGACAGGAAGAAAACTGACAAGCTGAAGAAGAAGAAGAAGAGGAAGCGAAGGGATGGCGACGTCCCCGTGAAGGAGGGGTACAGGGGGGGCTTGCTGAAGCTGGAAGCCGCAGATCCATACGTGGAGACCCCCACAAGTCCCACCATGCAGGATATTCCCCAGGCCTCTGCTGACCCCTGCTCAGGCTGGGACTCTGACACTCCCTCAAGTGGCTCTTGTGCCACTGTGTCACCTGATCAGGTTAAAGAGATAAAAACTGAAGGAAAACGGACTATTGTCCGGCAGGGAAAGCAGGTGGTGTTCCGAGATGAAGACAGCACAGGCAATGATGAGGACATCATGGTAGACTCAGGTGAGTGGTTTGAGCAGAGGGTCCAGGCCCTTGGGGTGGGATCCAAGGGCACTTAGGGTCTTTGAAAGGAGAAAGTGTGGAAGGGCAGAGAGGTGCTCTTGAAAGGGCTGTTGGCTCCTGGGAACAGCCCATGAGTTCTCTACAAGCTTGAGTGCGAAATGATGTGGCCCTCCAGGTGGAACTCAGCCCTGTTTGGGATACAGGCCCTACCTTCACAGTAGGAACAGCAGCCCAGCTTGTGTAGCTGAAGTGATGGTTTGGCCACATAGGCCACTCACTGAGTGTGCAGTTCCCCAGGCCTCAGGAGGTCCCCATTCCTCACCTGTTCATTTCCTTCCAGATGACGATTCCTGGGACCTTGTCACCTGTTTCTGCATGAAGCCCTTTGCTGGTCGCCCCATGATAGAGTGTAATGAGTGCCACACCTGGATCCACCTGTCCTGTGCAAAGATCCGCAAGTCCAATGTTCCGGAAGTGTTTGTCTGCCAAAAGTGCCGGGACTCCAAGTTTGATATCCGTCGTTCCAATCGTTCCCGAATGGGCTCTCGGAAGCTGTTTCTGGACTGATTTGGAGCTGGCAAGGAGATAGGCGGGACTGGAAGGGCATGGGCTCTGTGGCCTCCCTTAGTTGAACACAGAACTCCCAGCTCTGGTGTGGGCAGACCCTGCCACTCAGGTGCCTAAGCAGAGGACAAGCTGTCCAGATAAACCTGTACATAGCCAGTGAGCAGATAAATTGGTGGTCAGAGCTGCAGCTCCAGCTGGGTTCCTGCATTGGCGGCAGACTGAGCACCAGGTCTGCTTCAGCTGAGAATGTGGGCACACAGTCTTGTTAGCCAGTTCCCGCCATTGGGAGGGAGCAGTGCTAGCTGTCAGTTCCCTCTCTCTGCTCGGAAATGGAGTTGCTCTGTTTCCCTGGCCTGTGCTTATCCTCCAGTGTTGGTCTTCTATCACAAGTGTCTATACAGCAGCCATCCAAGTTGCCTGCCCCTTTGTGATCTCACTGCCCCTGACTCAGTTGGGCTAGGGAGTTGCTTCCTTAGAGGTCTGGTGTCCCCAAGAGGAGCCCTTGGTGGTGGGTGAGCGGTGATTCTTTGGTTTTCACTGTTTGTTTGAAGGGACAGTTATGTAGCCACTTCTCCACAGAGCGGGGGTTGGGGGTGGAGGTGTCCTGTGTTCATAAGTCAGTTTCTTGTTTTGCACGATGTAAAAAACGATTTCTTCTTTCCACATGATACTGCCCAAAGTATTGGCCAGTGTCTTCCTGGATGCCCTTTCTCTGCCGTTGGTGGTCCATGTCCCAGGGTGCCCAGTGCTCTCCTCTGTGTGGAAGCACTTGGTTTTCTGTTCTTCAGCTGCTCCAGTAGCATCCCACATATGAAACTGTCCTCCACACAGGCTGGCCTGCTAGGTTCCTGGGGCAAGGCAAGGGTTTGAGTTAGTGCTGTAACATGAGCTTGCAACAGTGCAGTGTCAAAGGTTTGAACCACGGTCCTGGTCTGGGTGTGTGAGCCACCTCAGCGCTTGGGACACTGGTGGTCCTAGGACTGAGGCAGAGGGGGAGGGCTTTGGCGACTGTTTCTCAGCAGTGTTTGGCAAAGCAGTGGGTCTATTTCATAAGTATCCTTTGTCTTTAAGTGGCATGAGACAGGGAAGAGTGCCCCGATGGACCACATACATCTCTCCCCTCCAGCCTCCGTGTAGCACCTTGGCAGGGTCACCAGGCACACACTCACAGGGTTGTGAGCTCAGACCATTACTTGGCTAATTGGAGGTTTTTTTTTTGGGGGGGGATCAGTATCTTTCACACTTGTCCAATTTAAGTGTCTTAGTTTTTTGTTTTTAAAATCCTGTTGCTCGTATTAAAGAACAGAAATACTATTACTGAAGCCCAGTTGGTCGTGCAGATCTCAAGGGAGAACCAGAGAAGGAGCCCTTCCAGAAAGTCTTGTCCCCAGGCTATTGTCTGGCTCTGACTGGATTAAACACCCAGCACAAGTTAGAGGAATTTGCCAAAGACCTGCCCCATGACAGTACTTGTCCAGTGTCTTCACCCTGAGAATAACCAAAGTTCCAGTAGTTTTTTTATTTTATTTTTTTTTATTTTTTTTAAGTGCATTTGAGAATGTGGTTTTGTTGTGGACCGGTATAGCTGGCCATTGTTGTGTGTGCTCAGAGATTTGTCGCCTCTGTGATATGTCGGCACATCTCAATTTCTGTTTGCTTGCTTTGTGTTTAAGGGGATCTTTCCCTGTGGGTGGTGTCAGAAGTTGGACACCTTGGTTTGGGGGTAGATTGAGCTGGGCAGCTGTAATCAGCTTCTTTATGCAAACTGGGCGTGACCCTCCTAGGGGCTCCTGGTTGGTGGTTAATGATGTGAGGGAATGGTGTCACCCCCAAAGGAGACCCCTCCCTCTCGTCAGCTTTGGCCAGGCCAGATGCAACATCGTTTACATGGTTCTGTGTAATTACAAAGTTTATGTGTATAAAGCAAGCTGTTTCTGTGAAACTGTATATTTTGTAAATAAAGATATTGCTACTTTGAGATTGGTGTCCTGTGCTGAAGGACACTGTCTTCTTCTCCGTCACTTACCCAGGTGTGGCTCTGGGAAAGCTGCGAATTGGTTGTGTGTGGCATTTCACACAATGAGGACCACGACCCCTGGTCCACTTCCCCAGTTAACTCCTAGACCCAGTGTGCAGGCGCTTGAAAGGCTTCCCGTGTATCTCCAGTCACTGTGGCTCCACCCCCGACTCGCCTGCGCTCTCAAAGCCACAGCCTTTAGGCTCTGCAAGTTTGGGATTGGGACTTTCCTGGCCACAGGCCTTTAATCCCAGCACTTGTCAGCCGAGGCCGGCAGATAGGCGTTGCAGGTGAGTTTGCAGTGCCCGGAATCCAGTGGATCTAACCCTTATCTGGGAGGCCGACCAGGGAGTCTCGTGAGCTCCAGACAGACCCAGCGCCCTACTGCTTGCCGATTGCCTCGGGAGCTTTAAACTGTTAGCTGAGTTGAGGGTCGAGGGTCACACCTTCCCTGGGCCCGGTTTCCAAGGTTAATTGGGCTTAAACTCTGGAGGCATCCCCGGGTTTCGCAAAGCTGGGTCCCAGCACGGGGAGCCCTGCAGACCCCGCCCCCGCCCGAGCTCCGCCCCCGAGGCTGCGTGCCGCCATCTTTGTTAGGGGCAGCGGGCCGGTCTCCGCGATGCCGAAGTCGTGTGCGGCCCGGCAATGCTGCAACCGCTACAGCAGCCGCAGGAAGCAGCTCACCTTCCACCGGTGAGGAATGGGAGGCCGGGACCAGAACCTATGGCGCTCTCACAGGCCCCAGTGCAGCGGGCGGGAGCCCCGGGAGGCCCAGGGTGTGCGGGCGAGGTGGACCGGGGCTGCAAGGAGGGGATGGCCCGGGCGCCAGCGGGGCTCCCGCGTCATCAAAGCCTGAGCCCCGCCGGCCCCCTTCTCGCCTGGAAGCATTAGGTGCTCAGTGTGAACAGGCTGAGCGTGGGTGGCGTCTGGCCGTGTCCCTGCCCTGGCCTCATGCTGCCTGCGTCACCTCAGGGAGGCCCAGGTAGAGGCACATGGATGGCCTGCGGGAACGAGCGCCCTCCAGGGTGGCCGGCGCTCGGCAGCGACTACTTTCCCCAGCCCAACTCGTGCGGAACCCTTTCCGGGGAAGCACCCTTCAAGGCTTCAGCTTCCAGCGATGTTTGTCTGTGCCTTCAGGGCGCGCAGTTCCCCGAGCTCGGCCTGGCAGCCTGCACGCACGCCCGCACCGGGCCCCCGTCCCCCTGTCCCCGTCCCTCGCTGCCCGCCTCCCGCCTGTAGGCTGTGTCAGAGCTTGTACTGAAGAGTAGCAACCACAGAAAAATGCACACATCATTTGGCACCCACGTGGTCTCTCCTCACCTGCCCACAGGGAGGTAGCCTGCCTGTAGAGTGGATTGCTGTGGCCAGCTTTATTTAGCCTTAAGCGCACTCTTGAGAGTCATCCTTGCCCCACATACTCCATGGCTTTCTTTTCTGCACAGTGTCCCTTTGAACATGTATCAGAGTTTATGTTGTGCAAATGAAGGGCCTCTTGGTAGCTACACGGGCAGTTAATTACCAAGGGAAGGACCTGTGCCTCCTGTTCATGTGTCATCTCCTCGGGGATACAGTCACCTCCATTCAGTCTTGCTTTTTGTTTCTAAGTTATTTGTGTGTGGGTACAGGTGCCACAGTGCATTAGTAGAGGTAACAGGACAACTTTTAGGAGTTGGTTCTATACCACCATGTAGAGCCTGGGGATTGAACTCAAGCTATCAGGCTTGGCAGCAAGTGCCTTTACTGGCTGAATCATCTTGCTGCCCCTAAAATTTTCATTGACATATAGTCATCGCATATGCTGATAAGGGCACCTTTCATGTGTGCACCCCATGCTTTGACTGCTCATCTGTGTCCTTGCTTATGCTGCCTTCTGCCTCTGTGTGCCCTTTCTCCCAGGCAGTGTTGCTCCTACTTTCTTTCCTGAGAGCGGAGGTCTTGTGTGGCCCAGGCGCACACCGCCATGCCCAGACCGTGCTTGTACTTTCACGTCATCTGGCTTCTCCATAGCTTTTGGCTGGAGCGGTCTTTCCCCCTGTGTGCGTCCTAGGGCACGTTTTGACCTTTGTCACAGATCTGTTGTCAGTCTCCTTTGCTGTCCTCCCCACTTCCCACACTGAGTGTTGGCATGTTCGAGATGGAGCTGCCCAGAGCTCCTTCCAGAGTGCTCAAGTCCCCCAGGCTGGCAGGCTCTGTAGGGGCATCTCAGGCACACATGCCCATCTGCCAGCCCTGAACTTTGGCAGTCCAAAAAGCACCTTGACACCTCACATTTCAAACTTCTGCTCACCCAAAGCTCCACCATGGCAAACACAAAGCTCCTTCCTTTCCACTGTTTCAGGTCCACAGGCAAACCTTGATACCTGCCTTTTCTTTCTTTTTGGAGAAAAGTCCTTGACTGGCCTAGAACTTGCTATGTAGGTGAGGTTGGTTTCACTTGCCTCTGTCTTCTGAATGCTGGGGTTAAAGATGTGTGCCGTCACATCACACCTAGCTTTTTTTTGGTTCTTGTTTTTGACGCAAGGTCTCATTCTGGTACCCTGGACTGCCCTTGGACTCCAAGTGGTCCTCCTGCCTCAGCCTTCCAAGTGCTGGGATGGCAGACTTGAATTGCTTACCTAGTATTGCTTGCTTTCACAATGCTCCCTCGCCCCCAGCACTGTTTCCTGCTCAGCCATTCTCACTGCAGCCTGGTTGGACACAGACCCCCTCTCCTTCCCTTATCCAGAACCCACAGAGATGTCCCATCTATCTAAATATCCAAATAAAGCCCTGTCAGGTGGCCCTTTTCCCTCCAGGGCCCCCACCCCCCCTCATCCTTTGTAAAGGCCACTGGCTTTGTCTTTCCACTTGTTGCAGGGTCTGTTCAAAGTCATCTTGGCTAGCCCTAACCACCACAGGCTTCTGTTTTGTTTTCGGCTGGCTGCTCCTCCCTCGAAGTCCATCTCAGCCTGGTTTGCTGCTGTTTGGGATGTAGGCTCCAAAGGGCAGGGACTTGGTCCTATCCACTGCCACCATGTCTTGGCAGGAAATCAGGGCCTGGCCAGTGGTGAGCTCCTGAAGGAACAGGTGACTCTCCTGGCATGTGCTTTGGAAGCATAGCTCTCTTGGGCTTTTACATTTATGATCTTGGGTTTCATCCACACACTGATAACAGCCATGGATGGTGGGAGTGTCTGGATGTTAGGGTTAACCGGGCGGATGACTGAGTTCCCAGAGCTGTGTGTGCCGTGGAATGCTGTGCCCATAGGTTTCCATTCAGCCGCCCAGAACTGCTGAAGGAGTGGGTGCTCAACATCGGCCGGGCCAACTTCAAGCCCAAGCAGCACACAGTCATCTGCTCTGAGCACTTCAGACCCGAGTGCTTCAGCGCCTTCGGGAACCGCAAGAACCTCAAGCACAATGCCGTGCCCACTGTGTTCGCTTTTCAGAACCCCACGCAGGTAGGGTGCTGGTCTGACATCCAGCCAGTGGGACTGTCTGTGTGTGCTGAGTGGGGACTTAAAAAGAAGCCGGAGCAGGCTGAGGGTGTGGCTCAGGTGTTAGGAAAGTACTGGCCTAGGATGGACACCCTTGCAGTGCATAAACTACAGTGGTGCAGGCTTGTAATCCCATAATTTGGAGCCAGAGGCAGGAGGGTAAGGCCAGCCTGGGGTACATGAGACCCTGCCCCCCCACCAAAAAAAAGTAATTTAAAAAGCCCCCTTTAACATTGAAGCATTTGTGCTGAGGCCTGGGGAAAAGGGGCTTACCCAGCATGCACAAAGCCCTGGGTTAGATTCCCAACACTGCACAAAGTCTGGGCTGTGGTTGTGCATGTGTACAATCCTGCCATTCGGGTCGGGGGGAGCAGGAAGATCCGGAGTTCAGTCATCCTTGGTTTGTGGCCAGTCTGAGGTACCTGAGATGTACCTGTGATGGTACATGCCTCTAACCTTGGCACTCAGGGCAGAGACGGGACTGCCACACATTCCAGCCTGAGGTGCGCAGTCTGCTCTAGACCGTGTTTATAGTGACGGACGTGGTGGAAGAAAAAGCAGGGACAGTGGACAGAGGCTGGAAGAGATCTGAGCAGGTTCAGGAGGCCCACAGCTTTGCGTCACAGTCCTCAGTGCTCCCCAGGTAAACTGGCCACAGCCAGCAGGTAGCAAGGACTTCAGATCCCCATAACCTTTTGATTGCATGGCACAGTGGGGCCGATGTTCGCCGAGGATGGTTACCAGGCTCCCAGGTGATTCAGATGATTCAGGTCCTTGGCGCTGTGGGGACCTGTTCAGGTGCCACTGGATTTAGGGGAGTGTCTAGAGAAAGCAGGAGCGAACACAGCTGGATGCAGTCGGTTTTGTTAGGTGTGCCCCACTTCAGGCTGAGCAAGGGAACTTGGGTGCCCCAGGCCACTGTCTGGCCCATTGTGAAATCCCACTGTGTCCTGCCTAAACCAGGGCTGTGTCTTGAGGCTGGTGAGAGAGAGGAGATGCTGCCTCTCAGGGGTGAGCACAGCAGCTCTGCACACATCCCAGGGTTGCGGTAGAGGGCAGTTCCCAGCCAGGCAGTGCACTGCACAAGCTTGAGTTTGGTAAAGGCTGAGAGTCAGACTGTCTGAAGATAAAGCAGAGCATTAGGTCTGAGTTCAAGATGCTCTCTCTCAGAGGGAAGCTTGTGGCCTCTGGCATTCAGACCTCAGTGGGTCCTAGGCTGGAGTCCTAGAGCTGGTGGGAGAACGAGGCAGGCTGTGACTGCAGATGCCTAGGACTTGGCTGTAGCCCCCACGCAGGGATTACTCAGGGATGGACAGTGGCAGCTGTATGAGGATCCGGTGTCTGCCAGCTCAGCCAGCCTGACTCCGCCTGCTGTTCCCAGGTCTGTCCTGAGGTGGGGGCTGGTGGGGACAGCACACTGGAAGAGTCTGAGTCTCCAGACACTGAAGGCCCTGTGAAACAGGTAAGACCCCGGGTATAGGCTAGTCTCCAAGGTGCCCCAGAGGACCCACCAGAACAGGAGCAGCGGGATAGGTGGCGGGCCTTCAGAGCCTGTCTCTGACCACCAAGATGGTGGTCAAGCATCACCAGGATTTCACAAGGGGAAACAGGGCTGGGGTCAAACCCCAAGGGTAATGGGTATTTGTGACCCCAGCTCAGATGCCTTCTTGCTGGGGACACAGGGCCACCTGGATAGCTCTTATTTAGTATTCACTGACCTATGTCCTCAGGCCCTACCAGAGAGAACAGAAGCAATGGAGGCCCCTGGCCCGCCAGCCAGCCCCACGGTGTTGAAAAGGCCCCTTCTGGGACAGCCGTCTGATCACAGTTATGCCCTTTTGGACTTGGATACCCTGAAAAAGAAACTCTTCTTCACACTGAAGGAAAACAAGAGGCTCCGCAAGCGCCTGAGGGCCCAGAGGCTGCTGCTTAGAAGGACATGTAGCCTCCTGCGAGCCTACAGAGAGGGACAGCGGGGACCACGGGCCAGACGGCCAGCACAGCGCAGCTGAGCCTGAGCAAGTTCTGGGATGTGGGGATGGTGGCAACACCCTGGCAGGAAGTGGTTTTCGGCTCTGCTGTGCACATTCCCCACTAATACTAATGCTGCAGGGGGCCTTGGGACTGGCAGGATGGGATGCCATGACAGGCAGTCGTCAGGGGAGGGACCCAAGTTCTGGGGAGTGAGAGGCACAATCTCACATCTCCTGGACTGAGGATGGCAGCTGTGGGGCTGTCCTGCAACAGTGACCAAATGTTAGGAGTTGTCACGGCCCTGTCAGAGATGTCCCTGAGGGAGAGGTGGCCATTCTTGCAGTTCACCTCCAGGAACATGTTTAGCCCATGGGTCCTTCTCACCTGTCCAGAAGAGCCATTCTGATGCCAGGGCAAGGGTCCACCACATCAGCCTGTATTTCTGAGTGACTCTTTCTGGCCTGGTTTGTATAAATGTAGACTAAATTCTTTGAACTCTGTGTTTAGGTTTGCTGCTTATACTCTTTCCCTGATACAGGACAGATAGGGCGTGACTACCACGACTACAAACTGACTAAAACAGACAGACAGATGCGGGGTGGGGGTGCAGCCCTTTGCTGCTCTATCAGAGGACGAGGTTCAGTTCCCAGCGCCCACACGATGGCTCACCACCATCTGAAACTCCAGTTCTAGGGGGCTTTTTTGCCCTCTTCTGATCCCTGAGGGTACTATGTAAACACGTGGTACATATATGCAGGCAAAATGCCCAGACACATGAAGATTTTGTGTTTTGTTTTTCGAGACAGGGTTTCTCTGTGTAGCTTTGGAGCCTATCCTGGCACTCGATCTGGAGACCAGGCTGGCCTCGAACTCACAGAGGTCCGCTTGCCTCTGCCTCCCAAGTGCCGGGATTAAAGGCGTGCGCCACCAACGCCCAGCCCACACATGAAGGTTTTAAGAAGTGAAAACAACAAAAGTACCGAGCAGAGGTACACACTTGTAACTCCAGCACTCAGGAGGCCCAGGCAGGAGAATCACAAGTTCTGGACCACACAGCCAGACCATGATTAAAAAGCAAACATAAGATCTTATGTATGATTTCCTTATTTTTAGGGTTTGTGTCTCAAGCAAACATTTAGCACAGCTTCGCGTTGCAGCCAACAGTCTAGGCTGAAGCAGCAGGGATGGGGAAAAGCCCAGGGCATCGCAGCCTTTTACTGTTCCTTCCCGATACATGCACCCACACCAATGGACAAAAGCGGGCGCAGCTTTCAGGTCAGGTTTATTGTTGGGCAGTGCTGCCAGTCAGCTTCACATAGAAGGGGCAGCAAGGCCCAGGGAGCCACAGGCCACTGAGTTGGGCTCATGCAACAGTGCAAACTGCACATCAATCTGGGGCAAAGAAACATCCTCTTTAAAAAAAAAAAAAAAAAAAAAAAAAATGGAAGTATTACAGAATTGAGCTGCTTTTAAAAATGCAAGGATTCTGAGAACAGGGAGGCAATGCCTGCCTTCAGCAGTTACTGCTGTGGGGCCTCGTTCAGAGCCACTGCCGGTGTAACACCTGCCTAGAGGGGTAGAACTTGTGGGGACGCCCAGCAAGTGTGCAACAGAAGCGGTCTGGGAACTGATCGCCCGCCCTTCCAAGGTACTCTGTGAGGGCCTGGCCTGGCAAGCAACAGCACCACCTGCTGGGCACTCACTAGAGGTACAGGTACCTGGGCTAGCCTTAGGTCCACACCCAGGCCTCCACTACTGGAAAAGCTCCCAGCTCCCCTCGTTCCAACACCATCCTCTAGAGGAGTGGCTGCAGGCAAGGCAGGACAGGACAGGTGTCCATGGTGTACAGGGAAGGGCCACTGGCAGCAGGATCTCTTTTCTTAGCAGTGTAGGCAGTGTGCCTGGACAGTGCACCCAAGGGCCTGGGGTCTCCCCTCTCTGTCCCAAGTCAGGGCGTGGAGGAATGATTTGAGAAGCTCTGGAAGTAGGAAGAAAGAGACTAGTTTCCAAACTTGTTGTTCTCAGATAAAAAGCAGTTTTATAAACCCACAGTCCTCTTCAGTCCACTCTGTAATGTTTCAGAAGAGAAAGGTGGCTTGTGGGACGTCTTCTGGGCGGCACATGACACCTTCCCTCCTTTCCATGTTTCCCACGGGCAGCCTGGACTTCAGGAAGAGCAGTTCCATGTGTGAGGGTAGAATGTTCCAAATAACTCCAGAGAGCTGCTATGTGTGGTCACTCATGATGAGGACCAGGGGTGGGATGACCCAAATAGTCAGCTGGGGCCCTGCCCTCCAGGAACATGATCCTTGGGGAGAGATGGCCATGTGGCCTGGCCAGGGTGGGGCGCCTCAGTCCTTACCCAAAGCACCCACGAAGCTAGGCTGTCTGCATGTCCCTTCACATAATTGGTACAGTGCCACCTTCTTGAGGAATAAACTAAAAAACATCTCATGTCTGGGTTTCCCTGCTTCCAAATTTGTAGACTCCCAGGAGAATATTTTTGTAGCCTCTTTTTACTCAGGTTCTCAAGTAGTTTATCCATCTGTATCGATCCTGTGAGCTGGAAGAAAAATCATACATCAGGGGCAGCAGAAGACAGGTGAACACCCCACCTCCTGCACCAAGGCCGGGCTAGAGCGCAGCAGCAGCTGCTTGTCCTTTTTTTTTTTTTTCCGGGTTTTTTTTTTTTTTTTTTTTTTTTTTTTTTTTTTTAAATTCACTTATTTTGATTTCACGTGGATTCATCTATGTTTGTGTAAAGGTGTCAGATCACTTGGAACTGGAGTTACAAACAGTTGTGAGCTGCCATATGGGTGCTGGGAATTGAACCCTGGTCCTCTGGAACAGTAGCCAGTGCTCTTAACCACTGAGCCATCTCTCCAGCCCCCTTGTCCTGTCTTTTGAGCCAGGGTTTTTCTATGTAGCCCTGGCTGGCCTGGAGCTCAGAGCCCGCCTGCCCCTGCCTCCTGCCTCCTGAGTTCCACCACACTCAACTCGAAACACCTGCTTCTGCACCCAGAAAGGAGGGGTCATTTCTACACAGCCACTCACAGTTGTGGCAAGAATGATCCTCCTACTCCTTTTAAAATTTGTGTATGTCAGCCTGGTCTACAAGAGCGAGTTCCAGGACAGCCTCCAAAGCCACAGAGAATCCCTGTCTCGGAAAACCAAACAGAAAAATAAAATAAATTAAAAAAAAAAATTGTGTATGTGTTCTGCCTGAATGTTACTTATGTATGTGCATCACATTCATGCCTAGTGCCATGGTCGCAAGAGGACTTGTGAGCCAGCATATGGGTGCTGGCAACTGAACCTGCGTTCTCTCCAAGAACAACAGGTGCTCTAAACTGCTGAGCCATCTCTCTAGATTTTTTGTTGTTTGTTTTTTGAGGCAGGGTTTCTCTGTGTAACTCTGGCTGTCCTGGAATTCACTCCGTGGACCAGGCTGGCCTTGAATTCACAGAGATCTGCCTGCCTCCTGAGTGCTGGGATTAAAGGTGTGCACCACCACCACCTGGCTAGACTTGTTTTGAGATGTAGCCCAGGATGACTTGGAAGCCAAGTTCCTACTGAGCTTCTTCTTTTTTTTTTTTGTTTTTTTGAGCCAGGTTTTCTCTTTGTAGCTTTGGGGCCTATCCTGGCACTTGCTCTGGAGACTAGGATGGCCTTGAACTCACAGAGATCCACCTGCCTCTGCCTCCCAAGTGCTGGGATTAAAGGTGTGCGGCCCTACTGAGCTTCTTGGGTCCATGTAGTACCATGCCCCGTTAAGAACATAGTCTAACTCCATCTGTGACAAGGACAATACGGATCACCTCACAAACTCAGCGGCCGTTAATGAACCTGTAGAGGGAAGGTGACAGCAAGGGGCCACTACTTACACTGCTTTGGTATCCTCAGGGCCTCACTGTCAGGTACCATCACCTGGTGCAGCACGCCTCGGAACTGGTACAGAACTCGCAGGCTCTTCTCCTCCCCAACACACGGGTCATAGAACCCTGGCAGCCCAGCCTGCAACAAACAGAGGGTCAGCCCAAGGACTGCACTGCTCCCCTCTGCCACCAACTGGCACAGCATGGCCCAGGAGCTTGATGAAGGAATGAGAACTCAGAGTGTGCACTGAGGAACTGCTAGGCTGACCTTCAAGCCCCTTTCTCACATTGGCCTGAAGCCCACAGACATGGCCAGATGAGTCGACACCCTCTTTCCGGAACTTGCAGACAAATGAAATGCAAGTGCCAGGAAGGCAGGTACAAGCTGCTTGGTGGCGTCTGGCGGCTCGGTGGACACTTTTGGGTGGACTTCAGGGTCCATGGGAGCAGCCAGTGGCTCCAGCACAGAAGCCATCTAGGCTCTGTAAGGAAACAGTCACTGCAGGCCTGGCTGTTACCTTGGAGGCCTCGGTGAGGATGAGCTTGGAGTCCTTCACCAGGCACTGCAGCGGCACGGTCACGTCTATCACCTTTACCCTCTCGTTCTTCCTGCTCTTGTCCTTGACAAATTTCCCGTACCAGGCGTTCACGACGATGAGCCCTGTCCACAGAGCAGCCGGGGCTGACACAGTTCGTCCTGCCACTTCCCTTTGAAGATCTGAAACCCCGCAGCGTCCAGCCCAGCCCTGCCCAGCCCAGAGAGGGGGCAGCTCCTCACCCATTCTGGACTCCTCTGCCTCGATTATTCTCCGGACAGATTCCTGCATCAGCCGCACCTTTGAGAGAAGACGAACATGTCGGGGACTCGACTGGTTTTGGTCACAGTATGCCAAACACCCAGTTTGTGTTCATGTCGAGATGCCTGCTCAGGGACTGCAGGGGAAGGAAGGAGCACATGCCTTGAGCTCAGCTTACCCATCAGAAGGTTTGAAGCCCCCAGCCCTCTTTGAGGCATTTCTGGGGACCTGACAAGGCATGACCCCACACAATGACCCCAGCGCAGGGGACAGCACCTTCGTTTCCTTCTCAGTGATTCTGCACATACATGTGATGGACGAGAAACGACTGAACACACGGTCAGTATTTAAGGATAAAGTAAACATAGTGATGCATTTCAAGGCTAACCAGGGCTACACAACAAATATGAGGTCATCTCGAACACACAGTGAGATCCTGCCTCAAAACAGACACTTCAAGTGAGCAGCTGGACCTTTCTTGAGAGGGACGTGTGCTTTCTGTGGCAGGGCTGTGTGCTGCCCCCAATTGAGCACGTTTGCCTGGGGACAAGCATGGCCTCCTGTAGTCTCAGCAGTGCACTTCTGTAGTCCTTCCTCTGCTCACAAGGAGCCCCATGGTACCCTGCTGCTCAGGCTCGGTGCTTCTGCTCCCCCACTTCCCATAAGAGCAGTGCACAGCAGGAGGAGAAGGCAGCGCCTGCCACTGCACTAAGCCTTTGTGAGGCCTTTGGAGGGCTGTACTCATCTCAAGGCAGAATGTGCCCCACAGGGCACTGAAAGGCTTCCAAGTAAATGAGGACGCTGCTGAAGAGAAGCTGGTGGGCTCTGCCATCAACACTGGCGTTCCTCCCAGTCCCAGTTTCAGCGGGACAGGCTGAAGAAGGGGGGTAGACAGGAGGGCTGCCCTGGGTCTGGGCTCTGCACAGTGGCAGTGGGGACACTCACAGCAGCCTCTGCCTCTTGCTTCTTCTGCAGGATGTCGCTGGCTGTGTTCTCCCTTTGCTTTTCCAGTTCCCTTTCAGAGAGAAGCAGGGTACAAGTGACTCTATGGTGAGCAAACTGCACCCCCTGCTGGACTGAGCCCAGCATGCAGTCTGTGATCTTAACTGGATTTCTACCTCTAGAACTTAAGATACTTCCAAAGCAACCCCAGGCCAGCCTGTGAGCTGCAGGCCTGTGCATCTCCCTTTAGTTTGAGATCACCTTCCCTGTCCACCTCCTCCACAGAACCTCCTCAACTGCTGTTTCCTTGGGAGAAGACTCCAGCAGGCAGAGACAACTCAGACTACTTTGGATGCACAGAAATACCCGCTCCTACAGCAAAGTAGAGGGACAGGGTCAGCCCACACAGTGCTGTCAGATGGGCTCATTCTTTGCTCCAGGTCTTAAACATCCATGGGAACTGGGTCCCTACGCTGT